TTCAATTAATGACAGGATTAATATTGTAAGAAAAACTCCAGCTAATGCCATAAAATCAAATTCTTTTTAGTCTTATATTAAGAAATGTCATTAACAGAACATGCAACTGTAACATAAGAAATGGTTCCCTACATCCAATATTCTTCATGGCTAACTATGGAGCTTTGTGAAAATACCCATTACTGGGCCCAATGCCCAGAGAGTTTGGGACCACAAACCTATATAAACATTTTTAAATTATTTATTTATTAAAGACTTAAACATTTTTTCAATTACAGTTGATATTCAAAATTATATTAGTTTCAGGTGTAAAGCATAGTGGTTAGACATTCATATAACTTATGAAGTGATCCCCTTATAAGTCTTGAACCCACCTGACACTATATATAATTATTATAATATTATTGACTATATTCTCCAAGCTGTATTTTACATCTTCATGACTATTTTGTAACTATCAATTTGTACTTCTTAATTTCTTCACTATTTTCCCCCAGCACCCCAAACTCTCTCCCGTCTGGCAACCATCAATTTGTTCTCTGTATCTATGAGTTTGTTTCTGTTTTGTTTTTTTTTTTTTCTTCATTTATTTTGTGTTTTAGATTCCAAAATATAAAGTGAAATAATATAGTATTTGGTAAATATGAAGCACACGGTAAGGTCAAAACAAAAATCTAAAAGAGATATGCAAGAAATAAAGAAAAAGAAATCTAACCACAATACTACAGAAAGTCATCAACCCACTAGAGAAGAGAGCAAGAGAATAAGAAAGGAACAGAGAACTACAAAAACAATCAGAAAACAATTAATAAAATGGCAATAACTACATACTTATCAATGATTATTTTAAGTGTAAATGGATTCGATACTCCAATTAAAAGATGAATAGATAAAGAAGAGGTAGGACATATATACAGTGGAGTGTCACTAGGCCATAAAAAAGAATGAAATCTTACCATTCCATTTGTGACAATATGGATGGACCTAGAGGGTGTTATGCTAAGTGAAAAAGTCAGACAGAGAAAGGAATCTATATTTTTTAAAATGACACAGGCGATTATGATTCTCACTCACAGTGGCTGTCATTGCTTGGATGTGGAAGAGGTACTCATAATATTAATAGCCAGTCCTACCATAGGCACCCACCAGAAAAGGGGCAGACTATTAAAAACATAAATGGATCCACAGAAAGTTATTTCTCTCACATTCTGCCTTAAGCAACCATTATCAGTAATCAAAACTTTTAAATTAGGCTTTTGTCTTATTTAAGAAAAATTCTTACCATATACAAAATACCAACTGATCAAGAAAGAAGTCTTATCATTTAAGGTGGCACAGTTATTATTTTCCATTTATGTAGAATATGAGATGAAGAGGATCTTAGACATCATTCTCTCAAATCCCTTTTGTTCCCTTAACAGATGAAATCCAGAGATAAAAAAGGAATTTGCTTACGGCACAGTTGGGAAAAAACCCAGAACTTCAGTCTCAGTCTAGCGGAATTTGCTTAACAGAATGCTGCTGCCCGCAGATGAGGATAAAAGACTCAGGAAGTAAACTGCTGTGTTCTTTGAAGGACTGAAATGTTTAGTGTGTGTGTGAGCGTGTGTGTCTTAGTGTGTGTGTATTATAATTATTTTAAAACATTTTCTGGCTCCTCTAATAAGAATAATAGAGATCTATTCTGACTGTGGTAGCACACACATGTGGGTGCTTACCATATTTTTGTTATATGAATGAATAAGGTACAAACCCTGATTACACTTCACAGTTCCTCGTGTGTGAGAATGGGAGTTAAATTAACTAAGTTTTGTGCCATCCTAGGAAACTCTTATGTGAAGTTTAGAAGGATAGATGAAAAACCCTGAAAGGCCACATGATTCCTAGGCCATGGCTTAATCATTTATCTATTCGTTAGGCTTTCCAAGGGACCCTCAATCATATCCTCTGATTACCCTGTGACAATGGGAAAAAAATATCAGGCAGTTGTGTGTCCTGGGCTCCTTTTTCAATAATTCCCATTTGTTGGAAACTCCTACAGATATAAACCCTCCTCTTCTGTGGACCAGGGAGGTAAACTAAGGGGCTAAACACTGACTGAAATGAAATAATGAATCTACAGATTCTGATCTTCCCTAATGAACAAACTGAGACCCAAAGCATTGACTGACAACTGGAAGAGAACTTAGATGGAGTCTTTCATTCCAAGATGATAACCCAGGTATTATTTTAACTGCAGATTTGAAAGGCTACATTTAAGAAACCCTTGATACAATTAAAATGACTAAGAAGCTTTCTCCATGCAATTCAAATGCCAAATAAATTGACACAGGTCAGATCAAAGTGATTTCTCAGAAGCCAAGCCTTCCTGTCTTTCTGACTTACTGGTATATAAGTAATTACCATTTTAAAGAAGAAAAAGAAAGGAGAGAAGCTTAGTTTCTCCTAGAGAAGCAGTCTAATCTAGTGTTTAGGAATGAAGGTTTTGGAGCAAGCCTTCCTGGATTTGACTCTTGGCCTCATTAGCTGTCTGTGTGTTGTTTGGCATGTTACTTCATCTCTCTGTACTTCAGTTTCTGTGTACCATATACATATGCAAATGCATGCACACGCCTGCTCTTATGTCATAGCACTAATTAAATGATTTAATGCATAAAACACTTAGAAATTGTCTAATGAATAGTAAACACTCTGAAAATTGTTACTATCACCCTGATGATACAAACATTATTAATGAGCTATGTCACCTTTGTTACTTTTATTTCTTCTATTATAATGAAATATCTTGAGATATATTTGGCCATCCTGTGCCATACAAGAGTTTCTGAACTGAACTAATTCTACCTGTTCTAATGTTTACTTTCACCTCACATTAAATAATAAAAGTATTATGAAGTCAAAAACCATCCTTGTGCAATCACATTGATTCCAACTTTGTTCTCCATGAAGGAAAGGACAGCATGCTTGTGTAAAAATCTCCTGAAGAGATTATTCTTCGCACTGTTGTGGATCATATCCCAATTGCTTTTTAAATTTATTTCCCATGTTATGGCCTTGCAATCAGAAAATAATGATAATACACTGCAAGAAAACCGAGTACAAGCTAATGTGAAAAATAGATAAGATTTACATTGAAAACAACAGAGCAAATTGTTATGAGTATGTATGTATACTAACTTCAACCTTTGAACTATGTTTAATATGAAAAATGTGTTTAAAGTCTTTCAATAGAAAATAAACATTTTCAATGGAAGCATGGAGTATAATAGGCATTCTGGAGGAGTAAGTTGCTAAGTTTTGTTTCTAAGTGGTTTATCAATGTTTTGGGGGAATTCCAGATGGATAGAGAAAATGTGTCACTGAGAGGCCCTATCAGAGGCAGGAAGTTTATTCCTGGCACCTGTGAAGAAACTTTAGGTAAGATCATTAAGCAAGCTTAGTTTGTAAGAATGGGAACATAGAGTCATGGAGAAGAGGACCTCTATACAGACTCGACTTGGATCCAAAATACCATCACCAGCTGAGCCTCCCACCTGTTATGCTCTTCCTCTTTTGTTCTTAATTTACTTTATTGTTATAGATATCTTTGTAAATCTGATGGAAATTATCAATACTCCTCTTAGAAAAACACACACAATTCTGCACGTTAATTTGTGGTTTTCATAGATGCTCTCATGTAAAAAAATGTCTTTTTAATGGACTAATTTTATATTATCTTCAGTAAACAAATCAATTAGCATTTAAAAATGGATTTGGTCACTTAATTTCTTTTTTAAAAATATATTATTTAAAAACATGACTAACTCTCCCAAAAGATTTTAGGTCATTCACTCAGTTTTTTTTTACTATGATCAGTACTTTCAAAAACCTTTGTAGATGTTTCTGAAACACTTAATTTCTGGGGAACTTTTATAACTCTCTGCAAGGAAAGTGTACTAGGCATTGATGAATGCCTTCTTAGAAATGTTTTATTATACTTTTATGAGGAAATAAGCAAAGATTGTAATGTTATTCCCATATTGGTTTATATTAAATAAACACTGATAACCCACAGAGTCTTGATCATAATTCAGACTCTAATCCCAGAATATATTGTTTTGGGAGAAATAAATGTACAAATGTATACAGCTAATGTAGCCACAGAGGAAAATTTTCAAAAATACGGTGAAAAAAGCCTTTTAAAATTCACCCTCAATGGATACATAAACAACGTTGATGAGTCAATCTATAAATTTCAATGTCTATATCTTATATTTTAAAATTGGGACAAAGAAACTGCCTGAATATTAAGTATAAAAATTTGTTTTGAAAAAGTTCAACAATTAATGTAAAGCCAGTAGAAAATCATCTTTTACTCTTAGAGTAAAATCTTTAGAAAAGTTTGCAATAGTTTATAAAAGTTTATAGTAATAATTCACCATCTTATTTTTTTCTTTGTTACCAATCATCACAGACCAGGAGCAGCCAAGTTTATAATAATTTATTACGGTTGCATATCTTTTGTTATGTATAATAAATTATAGATACCATAGCATCTTTATAAACTATTTAGTGTATCATATTCACTTTCTAATGCTCATTGAAGTAACTGTAAGAAATGTAATTAGATTATACTTTAGCATTAACTAGAATATAAAAAAATTATAAAATTTTTTCACAGTACTTCGGACTTCTGAAGGACCCCATTATTCTAACTTTTGTGCAACCAATTTGAAATGCATAAAAACCCTTTACAGACCAGAAGGTGGTGTCTGGTTTCACTGAGCTGCTGAAGGTGCTGCTGCAGCTCCTTCACTTTGTACTTACACCCATGTGGTGCACTTTTCAGTATTGTAATAAATGCAAATAAATAATCAATTACTGATCTCTAAAAATCCATACCAATAGACAATATTGAAGCTTGCAACATTTTGAACATTCAAATAAAAAAAAATCAGTAAACAATTGGTTTTTGATCACCTTATAACACTGGACATACTCCTTCTCAACTCTTACCCAGTTTAGGAAAAAAAAAAAAAAAGTTCAGGTCGAATTTAAGTCCTAGGGCTCCACAAAGAGACCCTGGCTGGAATTCTTCCCCAGCCATCTGTTTTCTTCAGTTTCATTTCTCATTACATTCATCCAGACTCTTCTCCTGACACGGGCATCAGTCCTTTCCCGCTGGGAGAGTTTTCAAATCCTCGCTGAAAGCATTTTGTTCTCCACTGTCACGGCACAGGCATGAAATTGGTTGGAGTCTTTGTAACCAGTTTGTTCTGTTCCTTTCCAGCCTCCGGAGTCCTGACGGAGGAGAAGCTTGCAAGGCAGCAACACAATGCTGCATGTTAAGGTCTCACCGATTGACTCACAAATGTCTGTTCCTGGATAATGTTCTTATCCATTCTCTTGTCCTCAGTGAACTTTGATGGAATATTTCCGCAGTTTCAGAAATTGGAAAAGCTTGTCTTTCGTCCTCTTCTTCAGGGCCATCAGGGCTCGTGTTTTCTCCTCCAGATCTTGATCTATGGCAAAAATGATCTTAGCTCTCTCCTCTGCTTTCTTGTCCCCAGAGTTTTTGAAGAGTCTCTGTAGTGATTCTTGGTCGATGTTTTCAAAGATGTTGCCCACCGCTTTCTTACGCGAAGCTGTGTCGAAGTGGTAGCCGTGGATGGAAGGGCTAACTCGCAGCGAGGTGGACATGACGACGACGGCTTGGTGGCTCAACTTTGCTTTCATCGATGTGGAGATCTTTGGGAATTCAGCTCCTGCCGGGGCTCTCCAGAGAGTCTGTAGCAAAATCATTCCAGAACTGCTATTTAAAGTGTGAACAAAAGCTCCAGGCTCAAATTACACTGGTGACATCAGAGTAATCTCAAGGAAGAATAATCACAGACAGGTTTAACAGTTGAATTGCCAACATCCTGTTCTTGTACGAAATGTTACTAAAAGTCATGTTCAGTGATGGGGCAGGGATGTGAGGATTTCTTTTGACCCATCTGTGGCAATGAGATTATACAGAGTTGGGCCCTTCTTTAAAAAAAAAAAAAAAACAGCTGAAACCTGGAAAATGTAAAGATAAGAAAAAACAGGGTGGCTTAAACTCAAGATCTTTCCAAACAACAACCAAAACAAACAAATGGTCTGCTAACTCAGGAAAGTTTTAATTTCCGGAGAAGTTATAACAGTGTACTCAGAATATTTGACAGCCTACATCCACACCAGCGGCCTTTGGACATCTCTATCCAGGGCAACTCTTGAGCTGTAGAGAGGTAGCTTAACAATTAAGGATGTTAATTTGGAATGTGTCTGATTGTAGAATGGGATTTTAACTACAAAATGCTGACATGACACAACCGGAAACTATGACCTTTCAGAGCTAATGTACAAGTGCTAATCTATAATCACTGAATAAAAGTGTAACTTAATAATCACGATACACAGTATCTCCTCAACAACACTATTAAAAAAAGTAGAGAAGAAAAAATAATCAGGTACTTTATGTAAACAATACTCAAAAAGAATGAGCTGAATTTTTTTTTAATATTTATTTTGGCATCACCCACACATAGAGCGATGGCTTCTTTGGAAGTTTCAATTCGTTCTTCCCACCTTCTACAAAATTCAGCCAGCTAATGTCCCCACTGATATGTTAATCACTTAATTCAACCAAATAATATATGTTAACTTCAAAGGGCCCCAGAAACTTTTCATGGACCTTCTGCCTGGTCCACTTTCTAGTAATCCAAGAAGCTGGGCTGGTCTTTTCCTCTCATTTTATTGAGTCAGATCTATAAAATGCATGAGAGTGTGGGGAAGGCACCGCACTAGAAAACTGAGTTAGAAACTCTCCTTATATATTCATTCATTCATTCATTCACTCACTCATTATTTAATCAAATTTATTGAAGGTTTACTTTTAGCTAGAACTTTTCTAGGAATTGGAAATTAAACAGTAAACCAAGGTAAACCAAATAAACAAAACAAAACAAAAAAAATCTCTGCCTTACCTTAATGAAATTTACATTCCACCTGGAAATATATAATAGGAAAAGTGTAAATTTATAATTTTGATGATGCCAGAGAGTATTAAATGAAGCAGAGTTGTTTAAGAGAGCAAGGGAAGGGTCGAAATTTGCATAGGATACCCAGAGGCAGCTTTTCTTAATGAGACATTGTCGAAAGACCTGGAGGAGGTAAAGGAGTAAGCTGTGTAGACATCTGGAAGAAGGGTGTTGTAGAGGAGGGAACAGCAAATGCAGAGGCCTGAAGATAAGAGTTTGTATGGAAGAACAGGCAGGAGACGAATGTGGTTGGAGCAGAGTGGCCAGAGAAGAGTGGGAGGTGGTGAGGTCGGGGTGAGAAGGCAGTGAGAAGAGGACTGAGGCAAATTAAGTACAAACTTGTAGGATTTTTCATGGATTTAGTGTTTACTTTGTAAGTGACAGACAGCCTTTGGAGAATTTGGAGCAGAGAAATGACTTGATTTTACTCATAATTTTAAAAATAATTGTCATTTCTTTTTTGAGAATAGATTTTAGGGAGATGTTCAGGGCATAGGGACCAAAAAGATTAGTTAGATCCCTTCCAAAATAATCTAGGCAAGAAATGAAGGCATCTACTAGGGAAGATGATGTGCAGGTGGTGAAAACTGAGCAGATTCTGGGCATGCTGTGAAGATTAAGGGAAAAAGGTTGCTGAAAGCTCTGATGTGAAGAATGAAACACAGACTAGAGCCCAAGATGATTTCTTTCAAAAGGATGCTTTCTTGAAAGACATCTCTAGGGTAGCTGGTGTTCAACTCACCGACCATGGCAGTTTATGCTTGTTCCAGTTTTTCAATGAAAGAACCCTATGTTATGCAGCTTACAATTGTGGATTTACTGGCATATGTGGCACTTCTTTGGGGCAGTCCATCTCCCTCACTAATACAAAAAATAATTATGTTATGACAAGGATTTTTACTGACTTTTTATTAAGTGCCAAGAACAATGCCAAAAAATTTACGCAAACTCATTTTAATGGTTGTCATACTTAAGGCTTTGCCAACCTTCTCATGTTCTGCTCTTTCTTGAGGTGATTCTTATATAAGCTCATGCTTTTTATCCCCATTCTTTGATTACTCCCAAGTTTTGATTTCCAGCCTACCCCTGTTCTCTGAAGTATAGGCTCATTCAACTAATCAATACAAATGTATACAAATTTGATATAAATATCTGTTCAGTTATAAAAGTCGGAAGCCCCAGCTATAGTCTTTGATATTTCCTTTTCTTTTTCTTTTGGTCTCTTCTTCCCCCACTCCCTCAATATATCTATTGCCAAGTTCTGTCAATTCTATCCACAAAATGTTTCTCAAATCTATCCACTTTCTCTTCATTTTCACTGCCACTATTTAGGCAAGTCTCCATACGGTGGATGCTGTGATACACAACCAAGAACTCCCTGTGAGATTTCCCTAGACGCTCAGCTGTCAGCCCCCTTCAGGTACTGCTACCATTAAACGAGTTCACCCTCCTTCCGGGTCCAGCTGCATCTAGTGACTGATCAACATGAGGGTGTAAAAGCCCACTCCCTTTGCCTTGACCTAGAGGGGTCATCTACACTTCAGAGCATCCTTTAGGGTCAGCTGAGACCTCCCTCTGCTCAATCCTTTTCCTTCCACATCTGCAGGCATTGATCCCAAGAGCACTCCATATTAAATAAATCACTTGCCTGCTGATCTCTATCTCGGAGTTTATATCCTAGGGAGCCCAGTCTGCGACACCCCATCTTCTCTCACCCGGACTAAGCCAAATCCCTTTCCTGGCATTCTCGTTTCCACTCTTGCCCTTCTTTCTCTATGTAGCACCTAGAGCAATATTTTCTCATAAGCAATCTGATCAGACCACCTTTGCTATTACTTTTAGGATAAACCCCCAAATCTTAACAAAACCTTTTAGAGCATGACCTGCTCTGATTCCTGACTACTTCTGTAGCATTCTAATTTGCCACTCTTCCTCCATGCCTTTACACTTTCCAATTCTTCGTATGTACCATGCTCATTCCTATTGTGGATTTTTGCACATATTTTTCCAATTTCTGGAATGTTCTCCTCTACTTTTTATCTCAGCTAGGTAACTCTTACGTATTCATAAAAAACAACTAAAAACTGTTTGCTCAGAAAGAGCTTTTCTGACCTTTCTAGACTAGATTGGTACTCTTTGACAATGTATCCTTTGCTATTCCTTAGCAGCACTTATTACAGTTTGCAAACATACATTTATTTCTGTGGTTACTCATTTAAGGTTTATTTCCACCAAGAACAGGGGTCAGATCTACCTTTCTCATTAAAGTGTCTAAAGCTCCTGGATTATTTACATGTTTTCATAGTAGTGGCAAATAACAATGTATGCAATTCTATTTAATTCTCATAACAACCTATGATGTTGGAACTATTGTAATCCTCATGTTACAGATAAGAGATCTGAGGCCATTTCAGTTTACTCCATATTGTTGACTGAATAATGCCCCCATAAAATGTCCATGTTCTAATCCCTGGAACCTATGAATCCAGGCATAAAGGAATCTTATATTGCAAAGGGACTTATGGTACAAAAAGAATTTACCAGGCGTGAACAATTTAACAATCTTGAGGTGTAGAGATTATCTTGGAATATCTGGGTGGGCCCATGTAGTCATAAGAGTCCTTTTAAGAGGGAGGCGGGAAGTCAGATAGGAGAGATGTTAACCTGCTGGCTTTGAAGATGGAGGAAGAGGCCAAGAGCCAAGCAATGCAGGCAGTCTCTAGAAGCTAGAAAGACAAAGAAACAGATTCTCCCGTTGATCCTTTGAAGGAACATATCACTGCAGATTCATTTTAGACTTCTGGTCTCCTGAACTGTCAGGTAATAAATTTGTGTTGTTTTAAGCCACTAAGTTTGTGGCAATTTGTTACCTTGGCAATAGGAACTTAACACGTTCTGCAAATCCTTCAGCTATAATAAGACAATTCGAACCCTGGGTTATCTGACTCCAAAGCCCATGATTTAAACTCTACGCTGTATTGCTCTCAAATCAGCTGCAAGCTCTGTCTTTGAGAAGCCTGAATAATGTTTCTACATGACATCGAACAGCTCTTATTCAGTACTGCCTAAAAGCATTCAGATGATTTTGAGAGATTAAGGAGTTACAAAATTGTTTAAAGGACAAGATCATCCACAGAGAAAAAATGTTGGTTTCTGTTTCCCAGAAATGTGACATAAGCCTTAAGGATACGATTTGCTGGTCTTTTGCCATAGGTAACTCCATAAGTGCTTGAAAAAGCTTTAACTGCTGTGACTGTGTTCTCTTCCTTCTTTGTATAAATATTTTCAGTGAGTGATGTGGACAATAGGATCTAAAACGTTACCAGCAAGGATTCAAAAATTGCATGTGAACAGGATCATGTCAAAAGACACCTTACATATTTTTCACGTTTTGCAGTTAAGACAAGAGATAATGCAGGCTGTTTGAAAGAAGCAGCTTCTGGGTGTATTGTCTTCTGCGCACCAGTTTTCCAGTATTGTTTCATCATACAAAGAGACCGAATGTCTTTTTGCTAATAATAAGCATGCTAAGTTAGTCTTGTGTCTGATGAAGTGATTTGAGAAAATAAAGAGAAAGAAGAAAACTAATATTTATTAAGTGACTTGTATACCTAATTTTCTTCATATGCTATCTAAATTCCTCTTCGTAATGATACTGGAGGTAGATATTATTGATGTCCATTTTCACCAGAAACAAGGAATTGGCTACATAACCTGTCCAAGATAAGTGGTGAAAAGTGAGTTCATTTCCAGATT